TTGTTGTCAGTCTACGTTTCCCTGTATCTTCTTTCACCATTTCCTCTTTGGAAATGATGCGGCATTCTGCCTCTCTTTCTTCATCCCAATGTCCATAAAATCTCAGCAGGAAGCACAATAAAATGGTGCAAGAGATGGTGTCAAATTCATAGGGTCAACCAAAGTGCCACTAGACAAGAGAATGATTCAGGGACAAGTTAAAATATAATTTCATGCTTCTGGAGGAAAAATAGAGATTGCTCAAAAAACCTATAGCCAAAAGGTAAAAAGTACAATTTCCCCTACAGTCACATGAGTAACTTGGCTTAGAAAAGTGGAGAGAAAAGGATCAAGGATAAGAAGAATGAGAGGCTGAAGAGATTAACTCATGGGAGCTGGAAACTGAAAGAGAAAATCTGAAGATGAAGTCAAAGAGAGAAAAGAAGACTGTGAAGGTGATGAGAGATGGGTAATAGATGATTACTTTTTAGAAGGAAAGCCTCTGACTGAAGCCTTCCAGACCCATCTCTTTTATAGGAGAGAGACTCTATCTACCCTGGAGAGAACATTTCATGACACTGAAGACAGAAAATGGCCCAAGCATAAAATGGAATTTGTTTGGAGGCCAAGTTCAAAGAAAGGACAACTTCTGGAAGGTAAAGTCAATGAAATCAATTACCTTTAATCTATGGTCACATGCTGGGAACCTGCCTATTGCCATGCATTATAAAACTGGCCAGCTCAACAGAATAATGTGTGCAAAGGATTGATAACAGGGTTCAACAACAGGAAACGATGACCTCAACTCTCCCGAGGGTAAGGACCAATTACAACCTTCAGTCTATACAAATGGACTTTTAAAACACTAGCTATAAAAACTTTGATTGAGGTTTTTATTCCCCCTTCCCCAAGGGACTTGGAATTTAACCTAGCCCTGGGTTTAGAGACAACCCTCATTGATATCATCCACACATTCCTCCATCCTGGTCCTTGAACTTTTTAAGTTAGACTGGACTCCTTTAGGAAAAGCCCGTGTTGTTTCTTGCTCTGAATGGATTGGATGACATTAAAGGATTATAAGAATTTCTTCTCCCCTGAAAGCTCAATGTATGGCTTCTTCTCTGTTTAGGCTGCTACAGACAGTCTAGGGACATTAAATTATTCCCTAGTCTGGTAAGGCAGTTCAAGTTGGAATAAAGTTGGACTAAAATAAATGCATCATTTTAAATTTGGTGATTTCCTCTAAATTCATGATTAATTCTAGAGGGTAGAAATAACAATATTGAGAGCTTAATATGGATGGAAATTTTACATCCATTATCTCATTTAATCTTCACATTATTTCCATAAAGTAAGGAAACTAAGGCACAGGCAAGTTAAATAACTTAACCAACATCACACACTACAGAATCCAAATTTGAACTCAGATTAAACATAACCCATTTCTTCGAACATGTGCTGATCTGGGTCAGTGTCTTCAGGATAGTAAGTGAAGCCCAACACTCAAATTTATTATGGTTAGTCTGATTTTTTTGTCTGTCTAGCATTTCA